TGACAGGCCTAAGTCAACTTGGCTGAGGCAGGTGCTGATTTTTAGAGCTGCTTGATTCAATCTCATTCAGTTTGGAAAAACAATCATATGCGGGTCTTTGAAAAACTTGTTGGGTCTTATATAGGGATTGGTATCCTATGTCCTATCCAAAAAAGACCAATAAATAGTTTTAAGGGTACCGAGTTTTGTAAGATAAGACCGATCGAGTTGACTCAACTCAAGACACAGCCAGGTCCTGAGCTGAGTTTGAGTGTTTAATCATTGGATTAGAGATAAGATTAGGCTTTGATTTATTGGACCTGTGCTCCTTAGGAGTTCAGGGTTATTAGAAAACACTACTTTGTTTTGATTGGAAAGCAATAGCTTGCAGTGAAAGAGAGCTAGCAGACCCTGTGTATGATGGGCATTGTCTCTAGAAGGGACTTCAAGGCTTAACCTTGAAAGTGGTTCATATGATATTTTGTCAGGGGGGCAGTTAATTAAAAAAAAGAAAGAAAGAAAGAAAGAAGAAGATATCGTGTCTGGTTGGGGGAAAAATTTGGTATTGCTTTGGAGGCGTTAGGTTTATGTCTTTGCAGTAGGGCAGCACTTTTGTTTCGACAGACGGTGAGAGTGCTTTTGACCAGTCCTTCTTTCGTCCTACACTCATAGAGGTTGATTCAATTGATGTGGTCTTTGTGAGAGATGACATTTCCATGGAGGATCGCAAACATTAGGGTAGCTACTGATCAGACTTTGGAAGTGAAATTTACAGGGCATGGAAGCTAGCTCCCTGGTGTGAGAGATAGTTGGTAGTGACTGCTTGGTGTATACCCTCTTGTTTCGATAAATTCTATTTGCTTGATGTAACTATGTACATTTAGTTTTAATTCTCTATCTCTACATCTATCTATGTATGGGGTCAACTTGGTGTCCAGTTGCTCTTATAAAGAAGCAGAAAACACCAGCACCCAAATTTCATGGGGAAAAAAATGGAGTAAAAATGAAAAGAAGGTTGCTGTGTAAGTATGTAACTTTTAAAACTGTTACAAAAGTCCAGCATGACTGTATGATACTATGAAACCGCACTGGCTTTGATTTGTTATGTTAGGTCATGATTGCTCGAGTTTGATTATCACGCAAATTTTATTTAATCGATCAATAATTCAACATACGGTTTCAGTTCATGTTAAGACATGCTCAGTGTGACTTGCTGAGTCCCTATGTATTTGTATACTTGTGTTTGTATTTCAGTTGTTTATATTAGTTGTAATTCGTATAGGTAGGCATTTCTTTTTGGTATTTGACGCATGTCCTCCACTGCAGACTATTGTGTTATTCTTGTTATGTGATTTATGTACACAGTTAATTTATACCCCTTCATGCTGAAAGGCTTCCCTTCGTTCTCTTTTAACTTTGGATATACTGCTAGCATGGTTAAAGCCATGGCAGTCCTTTTAAAGGTTAACAAGATATGAATGGTGAAACCTAAAATGCAGACTTCAAAAATTCATGATGGTTCCATGAATTCCAATTTTTGTTATTAAGAGGTGGACATAAATTAAAATTTTACTTACCATAAGAAGTTAGTGTGTAAAATCAAATTCAAAGGTCAATTATTAAATGATAAATCATTTCATATTGTTCTTTGACATTGGCATTATATGCTGGTAAACACTTCTAGAGAGAGTGCGCTAATTATTAGCATGCGAACGACGAGTGGAGATTTTATTGACAATAGGTTTACATCAGGGTTCAACGTTGAGCCCATATCTCATTTTCTTAGTTATGGATGACTTAACTAGGCACCTACAAGATGAGGTACCATTGTGTATGTTGTTCGTGAACAACATAGTTTTGATTGATTGGACTTCAAGTGGCATCAATACAAAGTTAGAACTTTGGATGGGATACTCTAAAATATAAAGATTTTAAAATTAGCTGGATTAAGATATAGTATATGGAATGCAAGTTTAGTAATAACAGGAGTAGAGACGAGAAAGTAGTTAAGATTGACGGCCAAGAAATACAAAAAAGAGCGCACTGTCAATGTCTTAGGTCAATAATTCAGGAAAATAGAGAGATTGAGAAAGATTTCACATATAGAGTTAGTGCTGGGTGGACCAAATGGAGATGTACAACCAGAGTTTTATGTGATTGCCGAATGCTAATGAAGCTGCAAGTTCGATAGGATAACTGTGAGACCAGCTTTGCTTTATGGGGCGGAATGTTAGGCGGTAAATAACAACATACCCATAGGATGAGTGTAGCTGAGATGAGGATGTTGAAATGTATGAGTGACAAGACAAGAAGGGATATATTTGAAAATGGATACATTTGTGAGAACTTAGGTGTGGCTCCAATAAGCAATAAGATGAGAGAAATGAGACTTAGGCGAGCTGGCCATGTGCAATGCATACCCAGTACAACACCTGTCAGGAGGTGCCGAGTTAATTCAAGTGGAAAGCTCAAAAAGGGTAAGGAGTAGGCCCAAAAGGACATGGTTAGAAGTAGTGAAAAAAGATATGGCAACTTATAGTTCACTAAGGGTATCGGAAGCAGTGGCTATGTGAAATTCAAGGTATTAAATTTAAAAATTTTATTTTCTTTAATTCAATATACCTGAATTCTACTTACGTGGGCCACTATACATTGCTGTAAAACCCTAAACACAACCTAGGATCTATATTTTTATTGCCAAAGCAAATAAAAGTCATCAAAGAACAATAAACAATCTTCCATTATAGTTTTGATTACAATATATGTTCTTGGAAATTTACAGAAAAATATGAAATATGACTGAAAAATAATTAAATCTACTAGAAAGACTTACTAGAAGGTGCATGGAGTTATCCTCATAGGTCTTGATACACCCCACACCCAATTCCCTGACTGACGACACACTTTTGTCCCTTCTGATCTTGGTGGAATTTCATAGATGAGAAGCTTTCATAAGCAATATCTCTTATTCTAGGGTTTTAGAGAGCATAGAAACTTAACTAGGGTTTGTAGGAACCCTTAAGAATAAATTAGGGCTGGGCTTGAAGGCATAGAATCCTCATATGGCTGGGCTTACCCCTTTTTCTTCTCCAAACAGCAAAACCCTAATTGGGGTTTCAATGTGCTACCCTTGTCTTATCAAATTTTTTGGTGGCGTGATCCTTTTTGGAAGGGGGGGAGATAGAAAATGAGTTTTTAATGAAAGAGAAAGAGAGAGATTTGGTGCATAGAGGAGAGTGAAATATGTGTGATGAGAGAAAGGGGCTCAATGGTGTTTAAATATAGAGAATTCCTTTGCCTATTTGGATTAGAATTCTTTCCTTAGGTATTGCCTATCCAATGACTCAGCTTGACCAATAGGAACTTAGAAAATCTGTGGGGTGAGAATAAATCTAAGCTATCCATCTCACAAATTAGCCATCATGATTTTAAGAAGATTATTAGGAACTTTATCCTCTTATAAATTGACTCAAGTCCAACTTCTATTTAAATTAGAATTATAACCAATCCAAAACTTCCTAATATCTTTACAAAATCTATAGGAAGTTAAAGTAATTGGAGTTTTGGTCAAACCAAGCTCCTAATTAAAACAATCTTTTAAAAACGTTACTCTTACTTGAATAGGAATCAAATATTTTTTAATTTTAAAAGATTTCTAACTAAAACTATCTAAAAGTGGCACGTAAACAAAAAAAACGGGGAGTGCCACCCTAGGGATATTATTTGGGCCCCACAAGGCTACACGTCCCACTTATGGGTGACACACATGTGGGGGTTGGATCCTTGGGCACCACATCTGCCCTTCATAGTTTTGACAATTTTTAAACCACCCTTGTTAATAAATTTATAGCAAAAATAAAATTTTAAAATTCTGAAAATTTTGTAAAAATCATAAAAACATTTCTAATACTAAAATAAAATATTTTAGAAGTGGACTGATACAATTGGGTCAAAATTAGAGACAATAAGGGCACTCCACTTGACCTAAGAACCATGATCCATCACTATTTTCTTATTCAAATATTCAATCCAACTAAAACCCATGACCGATAGTCTCAATGCAGGGGCTTATGATGGCTTGTTAAAGTTGGACAATAAACAGTGGGACCATGATCTTGGAGTGTAGATTTCTGTCCCCCCTTAAGAGCAAATCTAGCACTTGTCACCAAGTGCAACAGGGGCTCTCTCTATGCACATGGACACGTATTCCTCTATAGGGCTGGTTCCTAGTGATTTGTCATGTGTACATGCTGTACGAAAGTTTGTTGAGGCTTTGGTGCTTGCTCTCACAGGCCTAACAACCCCGTACAGGAAACCACACAATTCTCCTAGCCTACATACGTCATTCCTAGGCCTTTTCGACCTCAACAAAAGATGACCCACTGTAAATCCTTCTTGATAGTGCCACATGCCCAGGTGTTTTGGACATAACCAGGGCCATAAACAGCCCAACCTATGGTTTGTCACACTCCCACTGAAATGCATATTCCACTATAATCTATCATTTTTACAAGCTCTCTAGGCCTTTAAAGGCCACAAAACCCAACATGTAGGGCCTTTAATAGAGCAGAATAGCGGACCAAGATTCGTGTAGTCAACCTCAAATAGTTAGGAAAAGGCTCTGATGGTGATGATGAATACGACACCCTTTGGTCGTAAAGCAAACACTTGGCACTATCTAATGTTGTGTAGTTTCGGACTATTTCTTTTCCTTTCTTAGGCTGCCTCACATGAATCATTATTGCTTCAAATCTGTTGATGACTGTGAAAGTACTTCCCAACTTTCTAATAAGAAGATAGTGAGGGTACTGTGAACCCTTTCCAAACTTTCTCTTTTCCAACTGATCAATCACTAGCCTGTGAACCCTTGTCACCATACAAATGATATTTGAATATGTATCGTCTTTGTACTATTGGTGATGATGTCACTATAAAATAATTTAATCACCTTGTACTATTGGTGATGATGTCACTATAAAATTATTTAATCACCTTTTGTACCCCTCTTGTTTTCATCTCAGGGAGCCCTACAGCTCGATGGGCATCTGTAGCCTTTGGTGCAGGAATGGGTATTGGCTCGGCCTATAGTGACAGCTCTCGAATTTTTGGTGGGTCTTTTCCAAATTGGCCACCGTCTTCAGGAGCTCCTTCCCCATCATCAACTCCCTCTTACCCAAGTAAGTGTTGTCAGCCATTTATTTTATGCCTTCAATGTGGAAAATTGAAAGTAAAGTTAGATCACGTAGCTTTTTTTATTGCAATTGTGATATACACAATGTACTCTTGGATGCTGATATGATCAAAATATAATCAATTGTCGTTCCAGGAAAGTTATGTCAATGTTACCTCATGAAAGAAACTTCATCAATGTTTTATATGTAGCTTAGGAGGATGCTGTAACTAGTGTGTGCAGTCGGCACATTCACAAATCCACTATTTTTTTTTCTTGAGGACTTAGTAGTGTTCAGCATACGATGTCCAGGCAGTGATGCAAGAGCCATCTGGTCCTTACCCAAGATCAAGCACTCTGATTTGATAACATCTGCCTTCACATTTTCCAATTTAGAGTGATTGTCTATTGACACCAATATGAATGTCAGGGTCCTGCAAAAAAAGGTATTTAAAAAAAGGTAGGTTAACATGGTTTGCTTTTTGGTTTCGTATCTCTAGGTTTATACTTTTGCTTTTTGGTTTCGTATCCCATAAATATTACAGGTTTTAGATTCCTCAGCCCCAAAGTTGGGTGTCTTGATACAGCTGCCGATTTTTCCTATTCAGCTGAACCATGCATTTTTTGTTTACATGATAAGAGCCGCGAATATGAATCACAGTTTGAAATGGTTTGTCGGTAGAATGGATAATCTCACTTTAAAAGGTCAGTCTCAAGCCTTCATAGAGGCCTGTTTTATTTCACCACTCTTTCACGTACTGTGGAGTGTTGACATGTATTGATTCAACACCCTTGCTGCTGCTGCTGCTGCAGCTGCAGCTGTAATAATGTCTGTTATTGACGAGAAGATAGATAATAAACTTGTCTATAATGGGGAAATAACATACGTCAAAAAGCTCCCACAGTATCTTGTACGGCATCAATTAGGGTCCAGCTGAAATTAGTGAAGCTTTAACTTGTGACATTTACCTTGAAGAAGAAGAAATAAGAGGAAGGATCTGTAGGACTTATGGTGCCACCAACATGTGAACTATGATGACTTTGTTGACCATCTGTGACATAGGCTGATGGTCTCTGTCAAGGTTTTCAAAATTGGAACGGGACCCTGAATCACTAGGGGACTGATTCTGAATCGAAGACCGATTCTGAACACATCCAACCTGGGGAATTCCCTAGTCAGATTGTCATACGAAAATATAGGAAAAAAAACCAGGGGAGTCAATCAATTATGGGGTTCCCCAAATCGGAAGCACCTAGCAACTGATTCCAAGTAGGCATAGTGATTCTAAAACCTAATCTTTGTTGCTGCCACTATATATTATTTGGGCATGCATTTTCATGGACAAACCAGATGCCAATCTAGATCAGATTTGATGCATGGCTGATCTGGGTCTATGCCCTATAATCACTTGATTCTACTTTTTTATTACTAATCGTTGATGTGGTCGTTCTGGATTATTCTAGTGAGATGGCGATCCACAGTCATTTTCCAACAAGAGCATTGGGTGTTGGGGTTATGTGGCCATGTAAAGGCCTTTTGAGAGCATGTTCTGAAATTTTTATAGTGATATGTTGGCTCCAGTGGGATTGTCATCCATATTGGATTGTGAGACTCATCTGAGCTTTGAATGACTATGGTTCAAGGTGATGTCTAAGACCCATATCCCTGGGCATTTGAGCACAACTGATAAGCGTCGATGGGGGATTATCCTTAGATGAGGTCGGAGTTATGCCCAGGGCACTTTGCCAGGGGACTAGATGTGACCCCTGTATGTGATGGTTGGTTTGAGCATTACCATCACATGACATGTACACTAGATAGCTGTTCGGAAAGCAACCCTCTAGATGAGGGTGTATGTTGTGTACATGTGCTAATGAGACGACTCCCTGCAACACTGGACTGTGTTGGATGGACCCATGCCACATAGTGCTGGAATGGGGTCTGAACTTGTCCTCAAGGAGGGACTTGTAATCGATGGATTAGGATCGTGTTTCCTCCATTTATTAACTGACTTTGATAGTCCAATCATGAACCCCTACAAAGTTGTGGGTCATGGGAACTATTGGGTCAGAATGAGAAGGTGCAGTAAGATACGGTTTCTAGAAAGGCTGGAGTTCTCAGTTTATTTATTATATTTCTATTCTTTAGATCTAATTCCTATCAAATCTTCTTAAATATGTTTAATTATATTTTTAATTATGTTTTAAATAATTAAAATGAATTTTTAGACCTCTATGGATATTTCATTTTATTAAAAAATGATTTTTAAATAGGGAAAATTAATTTTTTGGATTTATTTTTATCATAGAGGAAAATAAAATACCAAATGGTTTTATAAAATTCCTTCAAATGTTTTAAAATATAAAATAAGGTATGGGTGCCCATTGGGATTCTTTTGGGCCCACTACATGTAAGGGTGTGGGGCCTACAAGGACCTCACATGAGTGGGACGCCCCACTTCCCCCTCTCTTTCCTATTCTAGTGACTTGTGAAAAAAGCTATGCACTTTATTTGAAAGATAAAGGAAAGTGCTTGGTAGAGAATTTGAATGATTTCAAATAGGAAACTGTAGAGATTAATTGAAATTGATTTCTAAGAAGACAATATTTTCTCTAAACAATATTTTGATGGGAATAGAGTTATGGAAACTGAGGGATAGTGGTTCCACCTCATTCATTTTATGGTTGATCTAAAGAATGAAGGATGAGATCTCTTCACCCCACAGGTCTTCATGATCAAAGGTCAAGATTGAGTCTAATAATGATGGCAAAATCCTAACCCTAAAAACCCTAGTATCTATGTTATATATACACTCTATGGGACCTTCTCTCTACACACATATAAACAACATGGCCTCTCTCTCTCTCTCTCTCTATCCAAAACCCTAGGGCAGGTACGCCCTTCTCTATCGTTCTTTCTTTCTCTCTCATCTTAGTTAGGGTTTCAATTTGAATAAAAGTTAGAACCCTAAGGACTCACCCACATCACAAGGTTGGCACGCCCTAGCCCATATGCATTGAGTCTTGCATATGTGATTGTGCCTTGGTGATGCGGGGAGAAATAAAACCAAAATAATAAAGAAAAAAGGTTGAGATAATATACCCTCTTTCAAAGTCTGCAAGGGAATCCACCCCAAAATAATCTCTTCACGAGACCAAATTTTATTAACTCATTCACCATTTTACAATGAAGGGAGTTCTCTTTTTAAATAGACTAAAAAAAAAAAGAAGATAAACAACTGACTTTCCTATTTTATCTCCCTTAACTCACTTTCTTCATCATCCCTATCTTCTTTATTTACCCATCACGTTCCAAAAAAATAAGATTTTCCACGTTTTATCCAAATCCTAAAAGCATGCACTATTGTTGAAAAGATAAAACTCCCTTTAGATTTAACCTTATCCTATTTAATTCATAATTTTCACCTTATCCTATTTTAATGCCTAAATTTAATCTTATCAACATCAATTCACGCACAACTCATACCTAGCTATTCTTGAGTTAAAAGATAAAGTCAAAAAAACTAATAATAATAATAATCAATATTTTTTTTTTTTCAATGCATCGTTCTCTCGGGGTTGGGAGAAGCTCGACCTCGAGCTTGATTCAAAGTGGATCTCCTTCGTCATCACCATAGAGGACTATTTCTTGAATTAGACCTTTTGGAACTTCTTCCTCTTCTTAGTCAAGTGTACCTGCATCTTCTTTTTTAGGCATTCAAACGAACGATGTCCTGGTTCGTTGCATCGATAACACATAAACTCATTAGCTTTTTTCTTTTTTATTAAATTTCGATTGGCGTAAAACCTTCTTCTGGGGGTAAAAGCGCTTATCGGTGCTCCCTTGGTATTTCGTTTCTACTGGTAAAGCAAGTTGAAAAGCTTTACTTAGAGTCCATGGGCGATGTAGAAAAACCTCAAATGGTAGGTTGAAGGCCATTTACATATCGAGCAATCTTTTGTCTCATCTCTTGGAGGTTATTTCGAGCAACTAATCGATAAAACTCCCCAGTATAACTTTCTTCTTTTTTTTCATTCTGTCAAAGATTTTGGAGTTCTTGAAAGAAAATTTACTCATGATCTGCTGGAAGAAAATTTCCTTTCAATTTCTTTTTCATTTTTTGCCAGTCAGTATTTTTTCCTTTCCCACTTCGAAGTCGGGATTGTTGAACTTGCTCCCACCAGGCCGTAGCATACCCACGGAGCTTGGTAGCAACAAGTTTAACCTTACGTTCCTCTGGCAATTCAGTCCATTCAAAATAATCTTCACTTGCACTTAACGAATCAATAAAACCTTCAATGTGGAGCTTACCATGAAATTCTAGTAGATCGACTTTCGTACCAAAATCTCATGGCCACTCTATAGGACGCGGGTTACCAAAATCTCGTGGTCGCTCTATAGGACGCGGATCTGGCTTGTAATCTTCTTTACGCTCGAAATCAACACCCTGGTTTTGTCGTGGAATTCATGATGCAAGATTAATGTGGTTGTTAGTACCTTCTTCACGAGAAAGGTTATTCTCCAACCGTTGCAACTTCTCATCCAACCGTTTCATCCTCTAATTTATCTCTTGATCCAACTGTTGTATCCTCTGATTCATCTCACGTACTTTAGTTCGAAAATCCTCTAAGCGTTGCATCCTCTAATTCATCTCCTAATTCATCTCACATACTTCAGTTCGAAAATCCTCTAGGGCTTTAGTCAAAATTTCTCCCCAACGATCATCCATAGTCAGAGCAGGATTAGCTTGATTCGCTTTGGTGGCGTTGTATACTATGGACTTAACTTGCTCTGATACCAATTGATGCAGGGAGATATAAAACCAGAATAATAAAAAAAAAAGGTTGAGAGAATATACCCTCTCTCAAGGTCTGCAAGGAAATCCACCCCAAAATAATCTCTTTACGAAACCAAATTTTATTAACTCATTCACCTTTTTACCATGAAGGGAGATCTCCCTTTAAATAGACTAAAAATAAAAAATAAAAAATAAACAAGTGACTTTCCTATTTTATCTCCCTTAACCCATTTTCTTCATCATCCCTATCTTCTGTCTTTAACCATCACGTACCAAAAAAATAAGATTTTCCACATTTTATCCAAATCCTAAAAGCATGCTTATTATTGAAGAGATAAAACTCCTTATAGATTTAACCTTATCCTATTTAATTCCTAAATTTAATCTTATCAACATCAATTCACGCACAACTCATGCCTACCTATTCTTGAGTACAAAGATAAACTCAAAAAAACTAATAATAATAATAATAATAATAA